GAAATATGGTTGTTGTTGTTTAGTTATGCCCGACTCTTCACGACCCTGTTTGAGGTTCTCTTGGCAAAGGGGTTTGCCATTTTCTTCTCCTGCTCATTTTACAGATGAGGAAACTGAGGCAAACAGGGTGAAGAGACTTGCTCAGGGTCACACAGCTAGTGAGTGTCTGAGGTTGAATTTGAACTCAAGTCCTTCTGACTCCAGGGCTGGCACTCTGTCCATTGTGCCCCCTAGCTGCCCTTACAATATAGGTTAGGGCCGGATTGTCTAGGACTCTAGAAGCTAAACAGGCGGGCTTGTATTTTATTCTGGGGACCACGGGAAGTCACTGGAGCTGGTTGAATAGTGGAAATCACATGGCCAATGCCACATTTAAGGACAATTGTTTGGCAGCAGCATGGAGAATGGGTTGGGATAAAGAGTGAGAGAGGGGCTCGGCAGTGTGGGACTGTATCTCGCTTTCTTCTTTGTGTCTCTGACTGTCTCTTTTTTGCACACACACACACACACACACACACACACACACACACACACATGTGATCTCACATGGGAGGCTCTTGCAATGTCCCAGGCGACAAGTGCTGAGGTGCCAGAGCTAAGGTGGTAGAGGGAGGGGAGATCCTCAGACGTCAGGTTCTACCCATGATGCTTTTGGGTTTGCTTTTTTTAAAATCTTAGCTCAGGGACTCACTTTTGTACCAACTGTGCGGATCACGCCAAAATGTGGCACGTCCTCAAAGAGATGGGAGTACCAAGTCATCTTAGTTGTCTCCTGAGGAACAGTCCGTGTGCGGATCAAGAAGCAGCAGTAGAACCAAACATGGAAGAACTGATCGGTTTAAGATCGGAAAAGGAGTATGACAAGGCTGCACACCGTGACCTTACTTATCTAACTTCGATGCAGAGTGCATCATGGGAAATGCCAGGCTGGATGAATCCAAAGCCGGAATTAAGGTTGCCGAGAGAAACATGAACAATCTCAGATACGTGGACGACACCACTGTGATGGCGGAAAGTGAAGAGGAATTAAAGAGGAGAGTGTAAAAGCTGGCTTGAAGCTCGACAGCAAAAAACTAAGATCTTGGCAACTGGTCCCATCACTTCCTGGCAAAGAGAGGGAGAAGAAATGGAAGCAGTGTTGGATTTTATATTCTGGGCTCAAAAATCACTGCAGATGGTGACTACAGCTGTGAAATTAAAAGACTCTTGCTCCTTGGTAGGAAAGTTATGGCAAGTCTGGACTCCATACCAAGAAGCAGAGACATCACCTTGCTGACAAAGGTCTGTATGGTCAAAATTATGTTCTTTTTTTCACCCCAGTAGCAATGTATGGCTGTGAGAGTTGGACTATAAGGAAAGCTGAGCATTGCAGAATTCACACTTTCAAATTGTGGTGCCGGAGAAGACTTTTGAGAGTCCATTGGACAGCAAGGAGATCAAATCAGTCAATACTTAAAGAAGTTAATTCACTGGAAGGTCAAATACTGAAGCTAAAGCTGAAATACTTTGGCCACATAATGAGAAGATGGGACTCATTGGAAAAGATCCTGATGTTGGGAAAGACTGAAGGCAAAAGGCAAAGGGATGGCTGAGGATGAGATGGACAGAGTGTCCTGAAATCAAGGAACATGAGGTTGGACAGACTTTGAGGGTAGATGTGTCTGGTGAGCTATGGTCGGGCATCTTGAAGAATCTGACACGTCTGAACTCTAGTGCCAAAGGAATGCTTACTAGAGGGTTTCTGGCATCACTAGACTCAAGGGCAAAGGTAGTTTTCTGAGCAAGGGAATCTTCTTTCCCTACTCCCACAATATTTATCTTGGGAATCACAGGGTTTTAGGGCAGGAAAGGACTTCAGATATGATCCAATTTAACCCCCTCATTTTGCAGCCTCAGGGGAAGTTACTTATCCAAGGTCATACAGGGGATAAATGGCAGAGCTGGGATGTAATCCTCTGATCTCAAATCCAGAGCTCCCTTCTCTGCACCCACAGACCTGTGTGACTAGATCTGGTCAGGTGACAAGCAGGAATGGATTAGATGGTTTGTTTTTATTTTGTCACTTGGACTCAGTCTCCTAGGTTGTTCTAATTCCTGAGTTTCCTGAAATTCTTGGCAGGGGGAAGTGGGTGCGGGGAGGACCAAAACCTGTTCCCTTATATTAGTGGGAAGACTTCTTTGCAGTTGGTGGGGGAGGGGTGACCTGTCTGAAATTTGTTTTCTCTCTTTGGCAATAAGAAGTGTATGTGTATGTGTGTGTGTGTGTGTGTGTGTGTGTGTGTGTGTGTGTGTGTGTGAGAGAGAGAGAGAGAGAGAGAGAGAGAGAGAGAGAGAGACAGAGAGAGACAGAGAGAGAGAGAGAGAGAAACAGAGAGAGACAGAGACAGAGACACAGAGACACAGAAAGACAGAGATAGAGAGAGACAGAGAAGGAGGGAGAGAGCAAGTGAGAGGAGAGAGGGAGAGGAGGAGAGAGAGAAAGAAAGAGACAGAGAGAGACAGAGAGACAGAGACAGAGAAGTGCGGCTCCTTCTACTAACAGCTTTGTAATGGGAACCCAGCTAAGCCTCTTGTCTCTCCCACCCCCTGGGGAGCCACACCTTTTCCTGAACTTTGTAGACTCCAGGTTCCACAGGAGGCTGGGTGGTAAATGATACCAATAATAATGATAATAATAAAGATAAAACCATGGGTCATATCCTTCAGAACTGTGCTTTTTGCTTTCCCCCTCTCCTGTTGCTCATTCATTTTGTAGGACTCTATCTTGCTTTCTTCTGTCTCTGACTCTGTTTCTTTCTTGTACACACACACACACACACACACACAACACACACACACACACTCTCTCTCTCTCTCTCTCTCTCTCTCTCTCTCTCTCTCTCTCTCTCTCTCTCCCTCTTGTTTGGTTCCACCCATGAGGACAATGGACCCATTTTTATTCCCAGTCAAAGGCCCTGGCCTAATGCCAGGGGTTTTCCCCTTCTGGCTCTGCTCATCTGAGGCTCTCCCTGAATGCCCGAGGTTGGTCATCAGGGCATCCCCAGAGGCTGTCAGCCTCCTGGCCTGGGAAGAGCCCAGCCTGAGCTGTCAGAAGAACCAAAGATCATTGAATCTGAATCAGCTAATAAATCAGAGGCCATCTTGTCCCATCAGCATCTGAGAAGGAAGCCCCCCACTCTGCTCTTGCAGCCTTAATGGTGAAGCAGGGGAAGCTCATCCTTCCTTCTGGGCTCCTGACTGTCACCTAAAGTATAACCTTCTCTCACACGGCCCCCTCTCGCAGCTTCTGCATCCCTGCCAATTTGACTGTTTTCTTCTGTCTCCTCACTGTCCTCTGCCCGGAATAGACAACCTCTGGCCCATCCCCACCTTCCTTCCGCAGAAGTCCCTCAGCTCAGGGACTCTTCCACTTTTTGGCCTGTGTAGCAGCAGCAGCCCAGCCCACTCACAATGGACAATGCACATGTGCTGAACTGAATTGAACTGAACTGTCCTTAGGGGCAGCCCCTCCTCCAACCCTCCTCCTTTCCATCCCTCTCCAGAGATAGGGCTGGGCCAGTCTGTCCATCTATTCACTTAGCAATGGCTTACTCTGCTTCTGCTGCTTGAAAGGTCTGAGGGCAATGAATAAGCTTTGGGCCTCACTTTTCAGGAGTTCATGCTGTAGTGGATAGATTTACACTGAAGTTATAGAATAGAGGCAGAATTCTAGCTCCTCATGATAGGGGTGGTCTCTAGAGACCTTGGGCAAGCCACTTCTTTTCCGTGGGCCTCACCTGTGAGATGCAAGTGCAGACCACCACCACTACTGCTGCTCCCACTACCACTGCTACCAGCATTACCACTATTACTACTACCACCATTATCACCACTACCATAACCACTACTATGACGACTACCATCACTACTGTTACTACTACTACTACCACCATCACCACCACTACTACTACCACGGCCACTATTATTACTACTACTACCACCACCACCACCACTCTACCACCACCACTACTAGTTAACAATTACATAGAATTTTAAAGTTTACCAGGCTCTTTACAAATATCATTTCTTCTGAGCTTTTTTCAGCTTTGAATTCTACTGTCCTAGATTATTAGAGTTGCCAGACTCAGGACCTAAAAAGAAAAGATAGAAAATTGAGTTGGCTCTAATAAGCTGAAATTTCATATGCGAGTGAGGTCTTGAGGCGAGATTGCATTTGATTGGAAGCTCCTTGGGGGCAGGGACTCTCTTTTGCCTCTTTTTGTATCCCTAGCACTTAGTGCCCGGCATGTAGTAGGCACTTAATACATGTTTGTTGATTATTGATATCGATTTAGGCTAAAAATGAGCTGTGCAAACGAGAGAGGGGGGAGTCCTGGTTCAACAGTAGTTTGTGAGAAAGGTCTGGGGCTTGTGGAAGACTAACAATACAACCTCTGTATGAGTCAGCAGGGGCGACGGTGACTGCCAAACAACCCAGTGAGATCTTGGGTCATAAGCAGAGCTTCCAGGAATAAGGAGGGGATGGCCCCTTGCTCTCTAGAGTTCTGCCCTGTTCAGATCCCATTTGGAGTCTTTATTTCTTTTTGAGTCCATCAGAATTAAATGACTTGCCCAAGGTCACATAGCTAGTAAGTGTCTGAGGTGGAATTTGAACTCAGGTCCTCCTGACTCCAGGACCGGTGCTGTATCCTTTATGCCACCTAGCTGCCTTCATTTGGAGTCTTGAGCTTGGTTCAGGGAAGCTCCTCTCTTTGAAGTTCTTGATAACTATTGAGAGGAGGGCAGCCAGGCTGACCAAGGGCCTTGAGTTCATGCCACATGAAGCCTGGTTGGAGGAGCCTCCGAGAAGCCATGATGGCTATCTTCACTTGTTTGAAGGCTTGCCATGGGGAGGGGTGATTCTAAGGTCAGTACTTGGAGCTTGGGGGAGTGGCTGCAAGTCCCAAGATGTTAGCACATCTCATGTGATGACAAATGTCCCAACCGCTAGAACTGTTGAAAAGTAATATAAGCTGCCTTGGCAGGTGGTGGGTTCCTCAATGGAGGGCTTCAAGCAAAGGCTGAATGACCGCTCAGGCATGTCACAGGCAACCGCTGGACAAGGTGGTCTCTGTGGACCCCTTCTCCTCTGTGGTTCTGTGAGCTTGGGGTTGTGAATGCAAGTATGACTGAAACCATGATATTTCTATCTGCAGAAATGGGGAAGGCTTGGGGAGGAGTGAGTGGGTAGGGAGGAAGATAAGTGATTCTGATTTAGACATATTGGGACAACAGAGGCTGACTCATCCAATCCCCTCATTTCAGAGAAATTGAAGACTGGAGTGGGATTTGAACCCACATTCATTGGCCCCTGAACCAGTGTTCTTTGTAACGTGCTCAAAATGGGAAAAATAGATTTTCAGAGAAAACCACAGCTGTCGTTGGCTCTAAATGTGAAGATATTCTGAGAAGGTAAAATCATTTTGTGAATGTTTATGGGAGAGGGCATGGATACTGAAACCCTTATCATAGCAGACTCGTGTGCTGCCTTTACTAAGCTTCCCTCTGCTCTTCTTCACTGAGACCTCCACCCTCTGCACCATCACATTTTTCTTAAATTATTAAATATTAGAAAATAATTTTAGGATATTTTAAAGCAAATCCAAATTGAGCCTTTCCTACATCCCTCAATCCCTAAAGGGGGGGCCACCTCCGATCATCCTGATCTATATCTTGCCACTGGACCCAGATGGCTCTGGAAGAGAAGGTGAGGCTGGTGACTTTGCACAGCCCTCCCCCACTTAAATGCAATTCACTTGCAAATCATGGCATCACCTTCTTGATGTCATGGTCCTCTTTGGGGATGAAGGACAAACAACAACCCTAAAAGAGAATGAGAACTAGGCAGTTAAAGATGTCTAGTCAGTAGTTTGGATGGAACTAGGATTCAGGAGAGACACTAGGTTCACGCATATTGATTTAGGAGTCATCTGCTTTGAAGCTATAATTAAGCCCATTGAGGGTTTCTGTGATTACCACAAGAGGGGGGTAGAGAGAGAGAAGAAAACAAGACTGAAGACAGAGCTTGGGGGAACTCCATCGATTAGGGGGCAGAGGACAGATGCTGATTCAGTAACAGAAATTTGAAGAAGGATCCAGATAGGTAGAAGGAGAAACAGAAGCCAAGGGAGCAGAGAATATCGAGTGGAGACAAAGAGAAGGCAAGAAGGATGAGGACTAAGACAAGGTCATAATATTGGGCAGAGATTATCAGCAGTCTTGGAGGAAGCAGTTTCTGTGCCGTAGTGGGTTAGAAGACACATTGCAGGAGGCTGAGGAATGAGTGAACACAAGAGGAAGGTGGCTTTTTTTCTAGGACAAATGATCACTGAAACCTAGATTTGGCTGACAGGGTAGAAGGGGGAAGAGGTATAGACTGATAACTTGAGGAAACAGACGGGTCAAAGGAAAGGTTTTTTACTTATCTTTTTTTTTTTAATGTTGGGGAGCTTTGAGCCTGTTTGAAGGTAGCAAGGGAAAGGAGCCCATAGACAGGGAAAAATTAAAAAGGAGGGAAGAGTAAAATAGAGAGAAAGAGGAAAGAATATGACCTATGGGGCAAGGACCTGGAGGACAGGCCAGCTTAGTGTTGGGCACACAGCAGGTGATTAATGTATGCTTATTGCGTTGGATACGGGGTACATGTAGAAGAGTTTGCTTTGGCAAGGATAAGAGCCACTTATGCCTCAGAGATGCGAACAATTGAGGAGAAAATGGGGGTGTGTGTATATGTGACATGCAGAATAGGGAATGAGAGAGCTCCCTACAGATAGCCTAATTATTTAAGTAAAGTGGGAGGTGAGGGAGGGCCTCTTTTGGTCAGCCAATAAACATTTATTAAGTGTCTACTGTGTTCCCAGCACTATGCTAAGTGCTGGGAATAGTACAAAGAAAGGCAAAAGACAAGTTTCTGCTCTCGAGGAGCTAACAATCTAATGGGGGAGGCAGTATGCAGACAACTATGTAGAAACAATCTGTAGGCAGGATGAATAATAGATAATCAATAGAGGGAAGGAACTAGAATTAAGAAGAATGAGGAAAGGCATCTTGGAGAAGGTGGGATCTTAGCTGGGACTTGAAGAAGCTAGGGATGACAGGAAGTGAAAATGAGGAGGGATGGGGGCATTCCAGGCACGGGGGACAGTGAAATGTCTGCTGTTGAGAGATGGGGTGTCTTTTTTGAGGAACAGCAAAGAGGCCAGTGTCACTGGGTTCAGTAGTGTGGAAGGGGTATAAGGTGTAAGAAGTCTAGAAAGGTGAGGGGTGGAGAAGGAAGTTATAAAGGGCTTTATATGCCAAACAGAGGATTTTATATTTGCCCTTAGAGGTGAAAAGGAGCCATTGCAGTTTACTGAGATGACATAATCAGACCCGTGCTGTAGGAGGATCATGTTGACAGCTAAGTGAAGGATGGACTAGAATGGGGAGGGACCTGAAGCTGGCAGACCCACCAGCAGCAACCACAACAATCTAGGCATGAGGTGATGAGGGTCTGCACTAGGACGGGGGCAGTGTTAGAAGAGAGAAGGCGGTGTATGCAAGAGATGTTTTGAAGGTAAAATTGGCAGGCCTTGGCAACAGACTGGATATGTAGTGGGGGGTTGGGAGGTGAGAGAGTGAGATGTCGAGATTGATACCTAGGCTAAGCACCTAGCTGACTGAAAAGATGGTGATGCCTTTGATAATAATAAGGAAGTTTGGAATGGGAATGGCTTGGAGAAAAGATCATGAGTTTAGTTTTGGATATGTGGAGTTTAAGATGTCTATGGGGCATCCACTTCAAAATGTCTAATAGGTAGTTGGAGATGAGTCTTCAGAGAGCTCAGGGCTGGGCAAGGAGATTTGAGAATCATCAGCATAGAGATGATTGAAGCTATTGAAGGTGATGTCATCACCAAATGAGATAGCATAGGAAGATAGGAGCTCTGGAGGCCTGGGGGACACCCACAGGCATGACCTGGATGAAGATCATCACAAGAGACTGAGGAGTGGTCAGACAGTGGGAGGAGAACTTGTAGAGCCCAGTGTCATGAAAACCTAGAGCAAAGAGACGAGCTAGGAGAAGAGGGTGATGGACAGTATCAGAAGCTGCCCAGAGATCAAGAGAGATGAGGGTTGAGAAAAGGTCATGAGGTTTGACAATGAAGGGACCACCAGTGACTTGGGACACAGCAGTTTTGGTTGAATGATGAGATTAGAATTCAGACCACAGAGATTAGGAAGAGAATGAGAGAAAAGGAAGTGGAGAACTCACTGTAAATGGCCTTCTCTAATCTCACCACAAAAGGAATAGACGGGATAATAGTGGAGACCATTATTATATACAGATCAAGTAAGGGTTTTGTGAGACTGTAGGAGACATAAGCATGTTTATAAGTGGGATGGAAGCAGCCAGTAGACAAGGAGAGAATCAAGATAAGTGTGTGTGTGTGTGTGTGCATGCGTGCGTGTGTGTGTGTGTGTGCGCGTGTGTGTGTGTGCGTGTGTGTGTGTGTGTGTGTGTGTGCGTGTGCGTGTGTGTGCGTGCGTGTGTGGTAGAGGGAGCTATTGCTTGTCCTTTGTTTTCGAAGAGGACCAATGACATTAGATGATGTCTTGACTTGTTCATGAATTGGATTTCAGTGAAGCAGAATCTCAAAGTCATCTGTCTTTCTCTTCTGTCTTCCAGTCATTAAAGTCCAGTGGCGGGACAAAAGTCAAGATGACCAGGATGCAGTGGATGACTGTAGCATCTTTGATGTCTGACCAGACTCTAAGTGCTCCAAAATGCTTCAACCACCTTCATGGCGGTTGGAATGAAATGTTCTCCTCCAGTTCCACCAAGGGAGGTCTTCACATGCATAGGGTAGATACCCTTCTACCTCACCTTCTATCTTCAGGCCAATAGGTTACTTTCAACTTGGTTTAGCCTGTCTGCCCAAGACAATTTTACTAGAGTGTGGCTGCTGCACATGCTATAGCTTCTTGGAGTTGGAAGTGAGAGTCGAGGGCCAGGTGGACCCAAAAATTGGCTGAGTAACCCTGAAAAGGCAGTCCTTCTTGACACCCTAAACTGCAATGCTACAAACTTTGTCAAGGAGTGATCTCATTTCCTCAGCGACCATATTTGGGAGTTTCATCAGATGTGGGAAAGCCTTTATGCAGCAGAGCAGTAAGTTGAGATGGGTCAGAAGACATGGGGCCACACTTAACCTCTGTGTAACAGTTAACTCAATGGCTTGGATGGCTCCCAGAAGCTTGTCAGAGAAGCCTGGGCCCCTGGGCATGGCACTGGGGAGTGGAGCCTGTACACTCCCCTCCCCACCCTGCCTCCAGCCCAGATAGTTGCCTCTTCCCTTCTTCCAGCAGAGCCTCCAGCTTACCTCTACCTAGTGACTTGGAATCAAATCCCACCTAGGACGGTTTCTGCTTGTATCACCTTAGGCCAGTCACTTCACCTCCACAGCCATCAGTTTCCTCCTCCGTAACATGCAGGACAGGAGTTAGACTGAATGGCCTCTGAGGTCCCAGACTTTTTACAGATGATATTTATCTTATCAAACACTTAGCACAATGCCTGCCACATAATAAGGGCTTAATAAATATTTATTGAATTAGAAGGCCCCCAATAAATGCTAGTTTCCTCCCCCACCTTCCTTTTTCTTTCCATTCTGTATCTGTGATCCAAGAATTCAGTTAGCTCCTTCTCTGAAGTCAAGATTGTGAATGAATGAAAGTGGTATCAGGGGCAGAAAAAGGAGGAGACATGACTGGAGTAGAGGTTACCAGGTAGATAAAGAATAGATTGAGGAAGAGTGAAGTGGATAGAGAGATGGGAGATTGGTGGTTATGGTAAGAGGATTTCAGAATTTTGGATTTTGGACAGAGCCCGCTTATGTGTGCCGGTGAGATCTGTGTGTTGCTGAGGTAGAGTAAAGATGGGAGTGATGAAAGGTGAAGCTGATAAACTGGGAGGCCAGGATATGGGAGGAGATGTCAGCTTCTATGTAGCTAGGTGGCTGAGTGGATAGAATGTTGGGCTTGGAGTCAGAAAGACCTGAGTTCATATCTGGTCTCAGGCTGTGTGACTCTGGGCAAGTCACTTAACTGCTGTCTGCCTCAGTTTCCTCATCTGTAAAATAAGGATAATAATAGCATCTACCTCCCAGAGCTGTTGTGAGGTCTAAAAAAGACAGTATTTGCAAACTGCTTAGCACAGTGCCTGCCAGACATGTAGGTGCTACATAAATACTAGCTACGACTACTATTATTATTATGTTGAAGTTCTCGAGCACAAGGACAGGGATTGAAATAAAGAAGACTGAACTCAGAGACTGAACTCCCCAAGAAAGAAGGGGGTAGGACCTCGAGTCCAATTATCACTCTCCAGATAAAGTCATAGACTCGTGGAGTAAGCCTCAGTTGGGAAGGCTGCTGAGGGATGGTGGAAGGGGTGAGTCTGGGATGTCATCAGGGAGCAAAGAGTGTGTCTGTTGGCAAAGGGGATGGGAAAAGGCTCGACCAGCCCTGGAAAGGGTGACCAGGGATGGATGCAGATGGGTTCTCCAGACGGAATCAAGTTTTCCTGAGAACAAGAAGGAAAGTGTGTGAGAGGATGAGGAAAGGGAAGTTTGTTAATAGATTGGGCTATCCAGGGGCACATTGGGAAGGGAGGGCAGAGTGGGATAGGGTTTGGATAGGGGGAGGCCAAGGGCTGAGGGAATGGGGAATAGATGGTGCCTGGGGAAGTATAGTCAGAGGAAGAGGCTGGAGCTCACTGAGCTATAGAACAGGGAGCGTGCAAGTTGACTGGGCTTCTGCCCGCAGGAATCTTATGATGATGGAGGACCCTATCAGTTCATTGCTCCTGAAATACTTAGGAAGAAGGGAGATTGGGTTGGGTCTCTGTGTTGGTAAATACCTGCTGATGGAGTCCCTAGGTGCCTGCCCGTACTCACTCTGGGCACTGTCTCCTGTGTCTTAGCCCATGCTAGTGACCTGTAGCTAGAAAACAGCCTGAAAAAGGCACATGCATCTGGCTCCTGGCCTGGCCTGGCCTTGGTGTCTGAGACTCTAGTCTGGAGAAGGTTTGGGAGGTGAAAGGCCTGGTCTTATGTCAGTGGATAGAACATTGGACCTGGAATCAGGGAGGATCTGAGTTCAAATCCAGCCTCTGACACTTACTAGCTGTATGACTCAGGGCAAGCCACTGTACCTTTGTTTGTCTCCCTCAGTTTCCTCATCTGTGAAATGGGGATAATAATAGCATCTACCTCCCAGGCTTGCAGAAAGAGAAGAATGAGATTATATATGAAGAGTGCTTTGCAAACCTTCAGTTACAAAGGGCTAACATTGCTTTTCTAAGATGGTTTGATGAAGAAGGAGAGAGTAGTTTGTGCCTAAGCATGGGTCAGTAATGTCGGTACCTATGGTGGTAATGAAAGGTTGCAGCTTCATCGTGAAGACATGAGGCCAAGGAGGGGCAGGCAACCTTGACATGATTCTGCAGTGATCATTTTCCTAATCCTGTCTCTGAGAGCCTGAGTCCAACTCCTGGACCAGGGATGGAAACAGGAGGGGTAGAGGATCCTAGGGTCATGGACTTGGGGCCAGAATTAGAGAGTGAATCTGTGATCTTACAGATGAGCCACTGAGTCCCAGAGATGAAAAGTGACATCCTCAGGGTCACGCGGATAGCAAGGATCAGAGCCAGAATTTACCCCAGGTATTTGAGCTCCAAAGTCAATCCTCCTTCCCCTGGGCCACGTGCAGGTGCTACCAAGCTTCCTGAGATTCTCTGCGACTTTTGAAGCCTGCACTGGGGCTATAAAACATTTCTTCCATTATTCTCACCCCTGTCCTAGATCAGCCCAATTAAGAAAGGTAAACTGAGGAAGTATGGTGAGAATGGGAAGCCGAGGAGAGAGATGAGTTTCTTTCCAAAGCACCATTTCTCAACAAGCATTTATTAAGCCACTCCTGTGTGCCAGGCACTGTGCGGAGTGCTGGGAACACAAAGGCAAAACCAGCCTGTGCCCTCAAGGAGCTTATAGTCTAACGGGGGAAACAACATATAAGGTACAACCCAAAACATGCTAGGCTGCTACTCTAAAAGGTTAGACTCATTTTAAAAGGGGTTTTCATCCATCCCTGAGAGACGGCCCCACTCTGAGGCCTCATCAACGTGGTGGTTCTCCAAGATGGTGCGTGTGAAACACAAGCTGGAAACACTTTGAGCATGGGTTGGGTGATCATTGCACATCTGACGATCAGCTTCGCTCTGCTGAGAGGGGATACTTACCAGGTGGGTGAGAAGATAGAAGGCCCTACTCCTTCCTCTCCGATCCTCAATCTCATCCCCTGGAGAATGGAAGCATTGGAACTGAAGACCTGGGAGGTGTCTTCTAGCTTGATCTGGAGCTCAGCTTTGATTTCTGATGGCCATTAGTTCATTCATTCATTCATTCATTCATTCATTCATTCATTCATTCATGCATTCAATAAACAATTGACCACCATGTGTGGGATGTTGCACCATGTAATACTTAGGCTGCTAGGAATGACTGCTGGAGGAGCTCTAGCCCAGTTCTCTAATTTTATGGATCACAAAACCCTGAGGCACAGAGAAGAAATTTGATTCCATTTGGGTCCTGCAACCATTAAGTAGAGAGGTGGAATCTGAACCCAGGTCCCTCAGTCTCCAAATCTAGCTCTCTTTGGGCAACTTTGCACCAGCTCACGCAGACCTTCCAAAGCTCTTCTTTGTCTCAAAATTAGCTCTAGGCAAGATGGAAGTGGGTATGAAGGGGGAGGATAGCCAGGCTGGGAGCCCTCCTAGGCTTCTATAGGTCAGAAGAAGAGGGAAAGGCGCTAGTGTGGCTGGAGTTGACTGGGCTCTCGGAGGAGGAGGAACCCTCTGGGAAATCCACACTGTGTACTTTGTTTCTCAAAGACTGGGAAACCAGAAACCAGGCTCTGAAGCCCTGTTTAGAGGGTGGGGCTGGTGTGGGAAGGGACTGAGAATTAATGAAATCATGCTGTTAGAATGCAGAACTGTTTCTCTGTGGCATCTTATTCATATTTTCCTTTCACCCTCCACTAGCTCCCTCCCCTCCTCTCCACTCTGCCGCCCACCACCTGTCACTTCCACTTCTCAGCAGACCTCTGGATTTGCTTCACCACCTGCAGAGGTGGAGAACATCTCTGGGTCTGTGTTCTTGGGGAGGTGTGAGGAAGAGGGGAGGTAGGGACAGGGCAGGCTGAGGTCCCACTCTGCCTCCAGCCCTGGACATCTGTCACCCTATAAATTCTAGATTGGGAGGGGGGCTCCCAAGTCAAAATATACAGTCTCCAAGTCTCGGTTCCATTGCCTGGCTCACAGCAATGAGGATCAGCCCCATGTAAACCTTCAACACTTATACATATGTGAACTGTTCCTGTGATTATTTGTTCTTGGGTTATTCCCGGGGAAATTCCAGAAAACCCAGGAGGGGGTGGGAAAGATTCATTTTGGGAATAACAGGGCTTGCTCTGCTCCCTGGGGTCCGATTGAGCTGGGAGCTTCTCCGAAACGGAAGGGTTAACCTTCCCAGAGGGCTGTATGCCAGGTAACACAGACAAACAGGAGGAAATGTCAAGCCCAAAGATAACAACCTGAAATAACAGGAACCCAGTCTTGTTATTTGCTCTCTTTCTACATTTCCCTGGTCATCTGTTAGTGGTAACTTCTTTGGAGGTGTAATTCCTGAGCTCCTGTATGTGGGAAGCTTGTGGAGTGCTTCTCACTGAAGTGCACTTGGGGAGGTAGGCCCAGAATGTGCAATCAATCCCTTTTTGGGGTGGTGTTGGGTTTCTTTTGGCTGCAGTTATACCAGACGGAAGCACCTTTTCTCAATTATTTCCCTTTGGCCTAAGGCCTAATGGGTGGTTTGGGGGTAGTGTCATAAAATCATAAAATGTTGCAGCCAGAAGGACCCTCAGGGCCGGAATGGAAGAGCAGGAAAGGACCACGGGGACCCTGTAGTCCACCCTTATCTCGCCGAGGATGAATTGGAGGCCCAAAGGAAGATGAGGACTCCAAAGGTCGTGCAGATGGGAGAGGCGCCAGCCTGGGCACCTCACATTTCTCACACTTGGTTTTCCCTGGAGCAGCAAGAGCAGTGGGTGGTGCAGTGCATAGAAGGCGGGGCCTGAGTTCAAATCCAGCCTCAGACACTTCCTAGCTGTGTGATCCTGGGCAAGTCACTTCTCCCTGTTTGCCTGAGTTTACTCATCTGTAAAGTGAGCTGGAGGAGGAAATGGCAAACCATTGTGGCATCTTTGCCAAGAAAACCCCAAATGGGATCATGGATCGTCAGACAGGACTGAAACAATTGGACACAAAGAGCAGCAGCTGCTACTGACACTGTGGGCTCCACTTTCCTCCTCTGAGAGATGAATGGGCCGGTCTTCTATGGCAGACTGGCTGTCCCCTCTCAGCCCCAAAGACTCCTTTCTGTCTTCCACTTAAGATCCACCCATCACCCCTGGCAATGTGCACTAATGATCATCCTTCACAGTTATCTAGTACTTTACAAATTTGCCCGTGGGCATTCCCTCACTGGGGGACCTGGGAGGTTGGTTCTGCTATGATGCCCATTTTACAGATGTAGATGCTCAGATGGGGGGAGGTAAAGTACCTCCCTCAGGCTCTGGAGGCAGGATTCAAATTCCTGTCTTCCTTCACCTAGCTGCCTGTGTAATGGGGGTGTGTGTGGGGGGGGGAGCGGTGGGGAGCGCCGTGATGGGGTTGTCACATGACTG